GGGGGTGGGGCGGGAGGTTTGAGGTTCTGGGAGATTTAAACAGTGCCTTTAAAAAGTGAATCCTCATTTTTTCTATTAGTTAAAGAAAAATCAAGAATAATCCAAAACAGAGTACACTGTAATATCAGATAATTATTTAAAGTGCATCTTTACACTTAATGTTAACTATGTATATTGTACATCATGGAAATTCACAGTATTGTGTCAAACAAATTAACAAGATACAAATGTGAAAAGAGTTCCTACCTAAAGAAGTTAAAGAAAATCATTTGAACTTCCCATCCTGGCTTTCTACTCCCAGAATTAACTTGAGGATAAAGAGTGGTTCCTCATAGTCAGACATAAACCTAAATGTCGTTTATTTGTAGCTTAGCTAATTTGTATTGATTTATATTTGAGTATCCAAGCAATTGTATATTGACTTAAAGTCCTTCTCTCTTTAGAGTCACATCGCAATAAACAGAATAAATGACTATAAGGGCAATAAGTAAAGTAAGAAAATAATAAGGACAATAATCGATTTTTAAGAGATTAGAATATTGATTTGGGCTTTTTCAGGTTATTTTCTCTTCTGAGGCAAATAAAAATCTCTTATTTCTCCATTGTGTCTTAATATCAGCCCTAAATTTTCATATTTCTGGTCCTTAACCAATTCTTCCAATTCTTCAATGTATAATCTGCTTACCAAAGTAATTACATTAAAATATTTAAATTAACTTCATACCAACAAGTGGATAAGTTATAGCAAATATTTACATAGATAAACATGGTGTAAATTTCTTGTTTTATATTCTGTAAGTTATTTATCAGTACCGCTCTCCTTTTCCTTATCCACTCAATTCATCGACATCTTATAGAAGCAATAGTCAATAAACATAAAAATATTCAACCTGGTTAGTAATTTTTAATACAAATTAAAGCCTATCAATTTGGCAAAGTACATACATGGAAATACTCAGTACTAACATTTTTCCTTTTGTAATTAATAGTAATCTATGCAACATGTGAATATTCTGGTCTCAAAAATTTTTTTCACTTAGTAGTTTTTTATAATTATACTTTTTTAAATTATAGAGTAATTGGGTGCTCATGTGATAGCTTCAAATTTAAAGAACCATGAAAGTTCCTTCCTCACCCCACCACAGATGTCCAATCACATTTCCACAGAGGTAAGCTATTAGCTGATTCTTCTGTTTCCTTCTGGAAATTTCCAAGGTATACACAAGCACTTATAAGAGGTCCGGTGCATGAATTCATGCACGGAGGGTAGGGGGTAAGGGGGAACTGCAGGAGGTTGGCTGCCGGCCCCAAGGAGGGAGCTGGCCCTCGGTCCCCCTGGGAAAGGCGCCGTGTCCACCACCACCCACTCCCAGTTCCCCATCCCAGCCTGGGCCTGAAGGCCATGGCAGGGTCAGGAGAGGCAGCGACAGTCGCCGGGCCAGGCGTGGAAGGAACAGATGCCAGACAGACACCACCATCAGCGCCCCACCACCACGATTCCCTGCCTCCCTCCCACCTCCTTCCCTCACCGTCACACTGCCACCACAGCAGGCGGACAGCCCCTGGGGATGGGAAAGCATGGGAGCTAGAGAAACCTTTCTGTCAAGGGCTGACTTTAACTAGATCACAGAGAGAGAACTGCTCTGCTACATTAGAAACCCCAACCCAGAAGCAGGTCTCTACGAATGGCTTAGCACCAGGGGCTAATGGGGGCCGCCGGCCAAGGGGAGGGGCCGCAGGAGTTTGGCTGTGGGAGCACACTGACCACCAGGGGGCAGCTCCTGCATTGAGCATCATAACAACTGATTGACCAGTCATTCTGGTTGTTCCAGTCATTTGGTCATAACAGGCGCTTAGGCTTTTATATAAATAGATTTTTTCATTTTTATCACAAATGGGATATTATATACACAATCTTGCAACTTAATTTTTTTATTCACATACTTGTCTTCTTTTCTATCACCACAAAGATATTCATCTCATTCTTTTTAACGGCTACAGAGAACTCTACTTACCACTTTTTATTTACCTCCTAAATGTACATCATTATAATTTCATTTATACTTTTATATGATATCAAACAATACCATAATAAACATCCTTGTATATATAACTTTGCATGCCTGTGTGAATAACAATTAAAAGAAAAATTGCTAGAAACATAACTGCTGGGTCAAAATGTCTTCTTTACATAGATATTGATTGCTAAATTTTCTTTCAAATTGTATAAATTTATGACCTCATCAACAGCAATGCTCTTTCCTCAGCCCTTTTTCCTCATCAACAATTAAATTCTTTAATCTTTGCCTATCTGAGAGATGGAAGAAAAATAGCAGCTCACGGGGGTGGGAGGGGAGGTTGGGGGTTAATGGGGGGATGAGGACACATTTGTAATACCTTAACCAATAAAGAAATTTTTTAAAAAATAGCAGCTCACTATTGTTTTAATTTTTATTTTTAGAAATAAAATAGTCAAGCATCTTGTCACAAATGTGTTGAACGTTTAAAAAATTTTCTCTATGAACTGCTCATTTAAAATCTCTGTCCTTTTTGCTCTAGGTATTTTAACAAAGAACAATATTTAGTATTTGAAACAATAATTTGAAGAAATATATAACAAGCTTCATAATAATAGTAATAAAATGTTATTTTAGTTGGTAATATGTACCTAAGAACCCCCCCGAAAAAGTAGAAAGTAATTGAAAATTAAGAAAATGGCATAATGATCTTTAGCCAACATTTTAGAACCATTAATTTTATCTGTGGTTTCTTATTTAGTACGAAACCAAGAAGGCATTTCCAAGAACAGAAACTAAAAAATATCGAGACAAAATCTATCTAGAGAGAGTACAGTACAAGCTATCTTTCACTACTCCATGAGCTACCACTCTCTTTCTACTTTAAAAATCAATTCCATATAGTCCTGGAGTAAACAGTCATGTGTTACAGTGTGATCAGAACTTGCCTGATCGATGTAAAAGGCCGTGCCTGCACGGATCTCTCGACGCTGTTTGAGATCGGTTTCCGTGGTGTCCCTTGACAAGGCAATGTATTCGACTTCCCGTTTGGTCAGCTCCTGCAGAGCAGAGAGTGAAATTGTTCCAAAATAAAATCAAATTTCCAACATATGCTTTGAAGCTGACAATGCCACTGCCCTAGAGAAGTGAATTTAAAGGTAATTCTGGATTAAAATCTTTTGAGTATCAGCTTTGAGAAAAATGCAATAAATTGAGCATTAATCAAAACATGAAGAGTTCTACTTTTACTGCACCCCATAATTTACCACTTAATAATTATTTACAATTTAAGCAATAATAATCAAAATTAGATCTTATAAAACTTAGTCTCCTATAGAATTCTTTTTAAATGTCATGAGTAATAATTTGGCTACTTGGTTATCCCAATGATAGCCATTTCTACAAGTAATGTTCATCTTCTTTTTAAGGGTGATTTAAATTAAATAATTCCATGAGCCAATGTTTACCAATTGTATACATTATGTTAGGTATTTTACCATGTGTGAAAATAAGATATATACCAACAGTCAGAAGACAGAGATACATACACAACTATTAAGAAAGGGAAAAAAGAGAAAAAAGTATGAAAAGGAGAGGAAGGGAAGCAAGAAGAGGTAGAGGAGGAGGAGGAAAAAAAGAATTATTTTACCCCCACAAAAATCCCATATGATTTGAGAGGGAAACCATCTAAAATCCATTTCTTTTAGAATAATTTATCCATTTCAAAAGTTATTTTACCCTACATGGAATATCTCTGAACAAAATTTTTTTAACATTATCCTTGGTTTTAGATTCAATTGAAAACAATGACATTATCCAATTAAATAAGGCATACAAGATGTTTTTACTAAAAAGGGAAAACTAATTTATTGGAGTATAAAGAAAAAAGTTGAACGTGCATGCTATTAATGGTCCTTAATCACAAGCTCATTCAACCTATTTCTTTATATAGTACTCCAGTAAATTACTTTATACTACAGAAAAGGGATTTTTTTCTCCACCTTATCTCCGTGTGATGGTGATAAAAATATATTGTTTTTAATTTGTTTTCTTGAAATATGCCAGTTGCAATGTGCCCATAAATTTAAGTATAAATGGAAAGGAAAAATTTTTAAATAGAGAAAACACACATCATAACAGTGATTTTTTAAAATAAGAATGAATTGCTTATGAGCACACAATTTGCAAGCAAAGTAGCAAATTCTCTTTATAGCAGATACCCAATTCTTGTTTATGAAACCCTATCATTCACATTGCTTGACAAAGTGATGCATGCCTTTTATCACTAACTAGAGGCCTGGTGCACGGATTCGTACACTGATGTGGTCCCTCAGCCAGGCCTGCGGGGATCGGGCCCAAACGGGCTCTTCAACATCCCCCAAGGGGTCCCGGACTGCAAGAAGGCGGTTCTCAGGTGACGCATGTCAGAATCAGCTCCCTCCTCTCTGGTTCCAGGTGTGTCAACCACAGCTGCCAAGTCACTGCCGCTTGGGAGCTCCTGCATAGAGCGTCTGGCCCCTCGTGGTCAGTGTGCATCACAGCTACCAGTTGGCCAGTCTAATGGTTGGCCAGCTTAGGCTTTTATATATATACTAGAGGGCGGTGAACAAAAATTTGTGCACTCAGGGGGGGGAGGGGTCCCTCAGCCTGGCCTATGCCCTCTCGCAGTCTGGGACCCCTCAGGGATGACCACCTGCTGGCTTAGGCCCGCTCCCCAGGGGATTGGGCCTAAGATGGCAATCAGACATAC